AGTTAGATTATAAACAAACAAAGGAAAGTATGTAGAAGAGGATAAAGGTCTAGCTGACTGCCTCAATGAATATTTTTGTTCAGTAGTTACAGATAAAAATGAAGAAAAGGGGCCTGAGTTAGGAAAAAGGACAAATGAGTCATTTGTTACTTGTGAGTTTACAGAGGAAGAGGTTCTATTTCAACTGTCAAATGTAAAGACAAATAAGTAGAGTTGAGCGAACCCGGACTGTAAAGTTCGGGTTCGTACCGAACATTACGTTTTTTGGACCCCGGACCCGAACATGGACATATCACTGTATGTTCGGGTTGGAGTTCGGTGTTCGGAAATTTAATGGCGCATTTTGAAAGGCTGCGTTTGACTTGTGTGCCCTTAGAAGCCATCACAGCCATGCGCACATGAGCTCTTATTAGTGTAGGGAGAGGATGCTGCCACTTTCAGGGACAGATTAGGAAAGAATTCTGCAAACTAGTACATTAGTGGGGTGCACTTCATATCTGAGAGTCAAATAGAAGCGTCAAATACTGTTGTCACATTGCAGTTTTAAAACTTAAAATTTTGTGGGTGCTAAAAAGTACATTAGTGGGGTGCACTTCATATCTGAGAGTCAAATAGAAGCGTCAAATACTGCTGTCACAGTTTTAAAACTTAAATTTTTTGGGCGCGAGGCGTGACTACGATCCGCATGGAGAAAGTCGCATAAGGTGAGAGCTCTGCCGAACTGTGGGCCCAACAGCGTGAGTTGCAGCAAATCTGCCACCAAAAACAGCCCACCTTAGCGCCAGAGTCACTCGGACCACGATGGCGACAAAATCTACTAAAAAGATGAAACAAAAAACGATTGACTCACACTTAAGCTCGCAGCATTCAGAGCACATGTGGGACCAAGATGGCGCCGGAGTACCCGGTTCTCCCACATCAGAGTCAGAAGCAGGAGACAGCCAGAGCAGCCTCAACACCACTGCTGCAATACCTGCCACAGACGCATCCGTGAGTACTATGCTGGACAAATTGAAAACAGCCCTGTGCTCAGATTTTCAAAGAATAGCGTCAACATCAGGTCTGAAATTCAGGCACTTGGGGATAGAACGGCCCACCTAGAAGAAAAGACAGAGGGAATGATAGAAGCACACAACGTCCTTGCAGAGGCTCATGCAGCACTAGAAAACAAGGTTGGGTAACTTGAAGGAAAGATTGCAGACAACGAAGATCGAGATAGAAGAAATAATATTAGAATTCGTGGAATACCCGAAAATATAGGTCCACAAAACCTCACGCAATTCGTACAGAAATTGTTTAAATCTTTAATCCCAACACTGACAGAGGCTGACCTACGCCTGGACAGAACACATAGGCTAGCCAAGCCAAAGCATCTGCCCGCAACTACTCCTAGAGACGTCATCACCAGAGTCCACTATTTTACGGTCAAGGACCAGATAATGCAAAGATCCAGACTTAATACTACTCTCCCAGAAGAATACTCCGCTATAAAATTATTTATCAATCTATCAGCAGCCACAATGTACAAGAGAAGAACCTTTGCACCTATCACAGTGGCCCTTCGAAATGCCAACATCATGTATAAGTGGGGATTTCCTACCAAGCTGCTTGTCAAAAGGAATGGGGTGGACCGAGTAATCCTCTCACCCTAAGACGGCCTAAAGATTCTGGAGGACTGGAACGTTCCCATCCCGCTAAACGACACACAAAGATCGGACATACCCCCACTACGCAAAATGGCAAGAGAATGGCGACAAGTTCCATGGATCACGACCACTCCACAAGACCGCAGCAACCCTCGTCCTTGAATGCCATCCCGCTACACACCAAGACACGTAACTTGTTTAATTAACATGGTAAATGTTCAGCCAGTTTACTGTGTACAATGTTGTAATGTTATAATATGTATATGTGCCATAGATGTGGCCCTCAGCTATAGGCCCACAACCAGCGAGATGTTATTGTTAAACCTATACTTGTTTTTTACCTGACGCGCAAAGTGATTACTGTTTGTCGCTTTTGACACAAAATTACCACTAACCACCCTACAAGGCTTACTAGATAAGCCATCATACACCCGTCTGCATACTTTTGCATTAGGCCCTAGTGGCTAACGGGCAAGTGTACATAGTTTTACTTCACCCAACCCCTCGTGACTGACCTACCTAGGTCACCTCCCCACAGTTTAGGTAACAGGCTATATCACCTGGACTCCAACTAACCCAGCCATAGTATAGAGATACGTATCTAACTTCCACCGAGTAAAAGAAAGGCACCATGCCACTAAAGTTCCTCTCACTAAATACCAAAAGATTGAACTCATCTAATAAGCGCAGATTGGCCCTCCAGGAGGCCAAAAGACAAGGTGCACACATAGCATACTTTCAGGAAACCCACTTTAAGTGGGGATCCAAGCCCAGATTTAACTCTGCATGGCTCCCAGTTGATTACCACACTTGCTACCATAAGAAGAAGAGAGGTGTGTCAATTCTAATAAATACAAATTTTGTTTTTGAACTCCTACATAAAATTGGTGACAAAAAAGGCAGATACCTTTATACTACAATGTCGCATTAATAATCAACCATGTACATTAATGAATGTTTACAGCCCTAATGAAAACCAAACTGTATTCATATATAATGTATTTTCTCTTTTGTCAATGTACAGCTTTGGGGAGGTATTTCTTGGAGGTTATACTAACTTTCTCCTGGACATCACTATGGACTCTTCCACCTCGAGAACGGTAACCACATCAACCTCAAAACAACGACACACACAAGCATCCATCATCTGCCAAACAATAATGACCGATAACTATGTAGACCCATAGAGGATCTCACATCGTGCAGAAATTGATTACACCTGCTACACTGCTGCACACAACAGCTACTCAAAAATTGATAGATAGATTCTTAATTAAGACTACGACACTGGAGAGACTAATAAGTGCAGATATTGGCGTTATTTCTTGGTCAGACCATGCCCCTATCACACTAACTATGACCGAACACTTCCCTTCACACGGCCGAACCATCTGGAGATTGAACGAGTCCCTACTCAATGATCCAGTGATAGTATCTCACATTACTGCAGATCTCCAAAACTACTTTACAGAAAATGTACAACCTGATCACATCTGGCTAGCCCATAAGGCAGTGATAAGGGGCAGCTTCATAAAACATGCAAGCCATGCCAAGAAAGCACGCCAGGCCCAATACCTAGAATTGATAGAGGAAATAACCTCACTAACACATAGAAACAAACGATCACCATCACCCACTACCCAAACAGCCCTCCTACAGGCCCACTCCAAACTATGAGACTTCAAATTGGCTAAAACTACATACTTACTGCAAAGAAGCAAACACAAATACTTTGCTTATGGAAATAAACCGGGGGCAAAATTGGCCTCACAGCTCAAACAAAGATCACCCGCCTTCAGGATTGCCTTCCTAAACAATAGTAAAGGTAAAAAAATCATTGATCCAAACAGATTGTAAACGAATTCTCCAATTATTATCACAAATTGTATAATCTGAACGAGAATGAAGGGGTGAAGGTACCCACACTGGCAGACATTGATAGTTTCTTAGTGGATATAAATTTACCATCCCTGTCACAAGACATGATACACCAACTCAAACAACCGATATCCCCCGAGGAATTAACTAAAGCCATAGCAGAATTACCATTAAACAAAGCCCCAGGACCAGATGGTCTCACACATAGATATTATAAAGAATTCTCCTGACTGCTACTCCCCCACCTCCTAAACCTATTCCACCTCAGTAGTACAATTGGGGCCCTGCCAGCAGAACTACTTCTAGCCCACATCCTACCTAAGCCCGGCAAGCCCCCCACCACCTGTAAAAATTTTAGACCGATATCCCTTCAAAATAGCGACGCCAAACTCTATGCAAAGATACTAAGCAACCGACTCACGTCTCTATTAGGCAAATTAGTACATAACGATCAATCAGGGTTTGTCAAGGGGCGACAAGGATCAGACAACACCCGAAAAGTCCTCAACATATTGGCTACAATGGAGAGGAGTTCAGCTGGAGGCCTCCTCCTAGCACTAGATGCAGAGAAGGTCTTCGACCGACTCAACTGGACATATATGCAGCGAGTACTCCAAGAATTTGGATTCCCTGATGAATTCATCAGAGGCATTATGGCACTATACAAGGCACCAGCAGCCAAAGTAGCACAGGGCGGCTTCCTCTCCAATGGCTTCTCTATATCCCCCTTTCACCCCTACTCTACATTCTATCCCTGGAACCATTGGCCCAGAAGATACGCACTGACCCCGACATACAAGGCGTCAAACTCTCGTGAAGCGAATACAAATTGGTGTTATTCACCGATGATATCTTAGTAACATTAAGAAACCCCCAACAGTCAGTGCCACCTCTTATGGGGACCTTGGAAACATTTGGCGTCATATGACACTATCGCCTAAACCAAGACAAAACCCAAGCCCTTCCCATTACACTCCCCTTATCCATCAAATCTGAAGGAAACATACCCCTTCAATTTGAAAACATCCTCACTGACTTACCTTGGTGTAAAAATTGCGCCCTCTGTAGCCGAAGTAGTAAAATGAAACCATCTCACAATCCCTCAACTAAGCACAAAAGAATTGCACAAATGGTCCCAGACTCACATATCTTGGTTAGGGAAAATCAACGCATATAAAATGGTGATAGTACCAAAAATATTTTATATGTTCAGAATGCTCCCCATCCAAATCCCTCAAACACTTATTAAATCTTTACAAACTATATGTAACACATTCATTTGGGGGAACAAAAAAACACGCATATCAAGCACTATACTTCACAAACATTCCAAACAGGGCAGAGTGGGGTTACCCATTATAGGCCTATATTATAAAGCCTCAGTCTTAGCAACAGGGATACTAATACATACCACAGAAGGGATTATCCAATGGGTAGACATGGAGAGAGCCCAATTTGACAAACACACAGCACTAGACTACCTATGGAGACCAAGAATGGTGAGCTACTGCCCACCACGGACCTTACTATCCGAATTTGGACAACATTCCTAGACACTTTAGGAGCTAGGAACACATTCCACTACAGAGCACCACTGACAGCATTTAGGGCCATTTCGCCCGACATAGGTGTCCAGAGGTGGACACGAGTTGGAATCACGCACATTCACCAATTAATTCAACACCAAGGAGTATTGTCATTCCCTGATATACAACAAAAGTGTGAACTTCCCGCAGATGCTATTTGCACATATTTGCAACTTAAAGGACTCATCACCACACATGTACATAGACAACATGTAAACACCAACCATCCATCCCTACCAGCAAGGCGATCAGATGTTGGAAAAGCCCTACAAAACCTAAAAACATTTCCCTATGTTATAAAGCTTGGGAAAACACTATACCCACCACTACATCATACTGCAAAACGCTATGGGAAACGGATTGTGCAATCCAACTCACAAACGACGAATGGGTACGCGCACTAAATGACCTATCCAAATGGACAAGGTGCTATACTCATATGGAAGCACACAGAAAATTATTATATAGATGGTACTTAACTCCACACAAACTTCATAGAATATACTCAAACACATCCCCACTGTGCTGGAGATGCTCAGCAGCAGTAGGTACACTCATACATTTCTGGTGGTCATGCCCTAGCATTCAACCACTATGGAGGGAAGTACATGGCACGCTCCGAGCCCTCAAGGTCCCTGATACCCAGTGTACCCCCGAGATATCTCTACTTATGTGGTTCCCTCCACACTTCGAAAGATCACACAAACAATTAAGTGCAATCACCATTTTGGCAGCTCATAGTCTATTGGCCTTCCACTGGAAATCCACAACATGCCCGAGTAGAGCCCAACTATGGGACAAAATACAACAATTCTACATCTACGAATGCATGGCCTCACCAGATACCAAGACAGCACAGGTGTTCCACACAACCTGGTCCCCGTGGGTAAAACTAAATGACAATACCCAATAAAGAGCTCGACAGATCCACAACCGTAATACTAGATACCGACCCGCTACGACTATAAGTACGAAGTATAGGGGAACTCAAGGACACATTTCACTACTCACCAACTGATACGGAGCCACTACATACATTGTCAAAAACAGTTTAAATACTATGATGTGCCATATGTGCAAAAACTCTATACACAATCCTGTATAATGATTCATGTTACATTACTGTGTATTGTACCTAAGCTTACCTGATGATTTGATGTTATACGTCTTTCTGTAATGTTTCATAACATACTACTGTTGACACCCTTGAAAATGACGAAAATCAATAAGAATTACATTTAAAAAAAAAAAGTTTTTGGGCGCTAAAAAGTACATTAGTGGGGTGCATTTCATATCTGAGAGTCAAATAGAAGCGTCAAATAGTGCGGTTATAGTGCGGTTACAGCGCACTAGTAAAAATTCTAATTGTTTTGGTGCTAAACTGCTAAATAGTAAATTTGGGGCGTGCTCTTCATATCTGAGAGTCAAATAGAAGAGTCAAATAGTGCGGTTACAGTGTAATTGTAAACATTCTTATTTTGTGGGTGCTAATCTGCTTAATAGTAAATTTGGGGCATGCGCTTCATATCTGAGAGTCAAATAGAAGAGTCAAATAGTGCGGTTACAGTGTAATTGTAAACATTCTTATTTTGTGGGTGCTAATCTGCTTAATAGTAAATTTGGGGCATGCGCTTCATATCTGAGAGTCAAATAGAAGCGTCAAATAGTGCAGTTACAGTGCAATTGTAAAAATTCTTATTTTCTGGGTGCTAATCTGCTAAAAAGTACATTAGTGGGGTGCACGTCATATCTGAGAGTCAAACAGAAGCGTCAAATACTGCTGTCACATTGCAGTTTTAAAAATTCTAATTGTTTTGGTGCTAAACTGCTAAATAGTAAATTTGGGGCGTGCTCTTCATATCTGAGAGTCAAATAGAAGCGTCAAATAGTGTTGTGACATAGCATTTTTAAACATTCAAATTTTTTGGCTGCTAAATAGTACATTTGCGGCCTGCGGTGCACTTCATATCTGATAGTCAAATAGAACCGTCAAATATTGTGCTTACATTGCAGTTTTAAAAATTCAAATTCTTTAGGTGCTAAAAAGTCAAGTTTGATGCATGCACTTCATATCTGAAAGTCAAATAGAAGCGTCAAATACTGTGTTTATATGTACCAATATTTTGGGGGTTACCCCAATTAAAAAAATAAAAACAAACAAATAAAAAACAGTGTTGGCTACTTCCTTCTCCTCCACCGCCGCTTCCACCTCCACCACCACGGTCACCGCCTCCTCAACCTATGGGTCACTTAGTATAAACTATGTACACAATAGCAGAGGCTTGTGAAGGCCTTTTCTACATGCATCAGGAGTTGAGCCTTTCTCCATGCATTAGAACTGCAAGAAATGCACCAAAGGCCGCAAATGTTTCTTTTTTTATATGTCCCAATATTTTGGGGGCTACCCCAATTGAATTTTTTTTTTTTTTTAAACAGTGTTGGCTACCTCCTCCTCCACCGCTGCTTCCACCTACACCGCTACGGTTACCGCCTCCTCAAACTATGGGTCACTTAGTGTAAACTATGTACACAATAGCAAAGGCTTGTGAAGGCCTTTTCTCCATGCATCAGGAGTTGAGTATTTTTTCCTGCATCAGGGCTGCAAGAAATGCACCGCAGGCTTCAAATGTTTCTTTTTTTATATGTCCCAATATTTTTGGGGCTACCACAATAAAAAAAATATAGACAGATGGTAATCATAGTAAGGCAAGCTGAGGTCAGTGGGAATGAGTAGCAGCAAAGTCAAACAGTCCAAATTCAGCAACAGGTAGAAGAAACAGGAACAAGCTTGATTATAGCTTACAGGAACCACAATAATCCGGCAAAGAGGATCAGCAGCATGGAAACCAGGATTCGAAACCCAGCAGAGTCAGTTCCTCACAATACTAGAGCATGAACAAGCTGTTTGCCAGCATTTGTGTAAGAAATGGGCAGATTTGGGCAATGTTTTTAAGGTTTAATCGACAGATTGTAGCAACAGGCTGGATATGAAGCGCAAAGCTGAGACCAGTGTCAAAGATAACATAACAGCAAGGCAGTAATATTGCAAGGATGGACTAATGTGGGTATCATCAACTTTCAGGGAGTGTAATAGAGGACGATCAGTGTTACGAGGAGAAAAAAAAAACCTCTGAGAGATTGGGTTTCAGAAAGCAGGAGGACATCCAGTCAGAAAAGGAAGAAAGCAAGCGGTGACACATTATAGGACAGCGGGGGTGAGATTAGGGAGAAGAGATCTATTTGGGTGTCATCAGAGTACAGGTGGTAACAGAATCCAAAGGAATTAATGTGTTTGCCATGAGAGTCAGTATAGAGAGAGAACAAAAGGGGACCAAAAATTGAGCCTTGGGTGGCTTCAACCAAGACAGGATGAGGGGAAGAGTTGTCATTGGAAAAAGAGACACTGAATGAACGTTGGGATAGATAGGAGGAGAACCACAAGAATGAGGGATTGAATAGTTTGGAGAAGGAGGCCATGATCAACAGCAGCAGAGAGATCAAGAAGAATTAGTATGGAGTTGTTGCCTAGTTTATTGTCTATAACAATTCCCAAATCCTTCTCATGTGTTGTTTTCCCTAATTCCCTACCATTTAGGGTGTAAGTTGCTTGTGCATTCTTTACCCCAAAGTGCATTACTTTGCATTTTTCTATACTAAATTTTACCTGCCAATTGAGTACCCAGTCCTCCAATCTATCTAAATCCCTCTGCAGCAAAGCAATATAATGCTCATACTGTATTACTTTACAGAATTGTGTGTTATCTACAAACACTGAAACATGACTTTCAATGCCTATTTTTTTTTTTTGTAAATCTGTTTTTATTAGATAGAGTAATGGTAGTACAGCTTATTCGGTTCAGTGTTCAGCAGATTGAGGTCACGTACGACCTGTGTTCAATGCCTATTTTAAGATCATTTATAAATATGTTAAATATAAGCGATCCCAGAGCAGAACCCTGAGGGACATCACTTACTACTTTTTTCCAGCTTGTTAATTTATCAATAATGACAACTGTCTGTACTCTATCTTTAAACCAATATTATACAAGAATGAAAAAAAATATTTTTATCTTAACCAATTTCTAGTTTGAACACTACCCGTATGCAGGAAGGAGGATTTGGGTTTTTTAGAGCACTGGGATGACTTTGCGCTTGGGTACAACCTTTATAGCAGTAATGGGTTGCACCTAAATGGGAGAGGGTCTGCTGTGATGGGGGATAGGATGGCTAGAAGGTTGAAGGAGATTTTAAACTAGTAGTAGGGGGTGGGGTGGGGGTCATAGCAATCTACAAAATGGAGATAGGACAGAATAAAACTGGGCTTTAGCTCAGTATAAGGGAGATGGAGACAGGGGGAGGGGCAAGATCAGAACAGAGAATGTATGTAATGTTGATAATTTACAAAGAGTGCATGTGACTCATGATAATATTAAATGTATGCTTACTAATGCAAGGAACCTAAATAACAAAATGGGGGAACTAGAGGCAATAGTATACACTAAGCAATATGACATTATAGGCATAACTGAAACTGGTGGGATGAGACACATATCTGGGCAGTTAACCTAAATGGGTACACAGAAAAAGGACAGAAAAAAACAGGAAAGGTGGTGGGGTATGTTTGTATGTGAATCATGAGTTAAAACAAAATCTTAAGCAAGTGGAATGTGATGATGAAGATGTGGAAGCATTATGGGTAAATATCTGCTAGGGGCAAAAGAAGGGAAATCAACTATTGGTTGGGAAATGTTATCAACCACCTAATGTTAATATTAATGAGGAACAACAGCTGTTTGAGCAAATTGAGAAAGTTGCAAATCTGGGTAACACGTTAATTATTGTAGATTTTAATTTCATAAATTGGACAGAGGGAGCAAAGGGAATTAGGTTTTTGAACTTGTTAAATGACACCTTAATGTCACAAGTTGTACAAGCACCAACTAGAAAGGATGCTTGTCTGGACCTAACAAACAACGTTGATTTTTTGACCAGTAGGTGAGCACTTGGGAAATAGTGATCACAATATAGTGTCCTTTGAAATAAACTCAAAAAAACAAAAGCATATGGGGTATACTAAAACATATAATTTAAAAAAAAGGCCAATTTCTATAAGTTAAGGGCAGCTTTACAATATATTGACTGGCATAAACTCTTTAGTGAAAACAACACTAAGGATAAATGGAACATCTTCCAACAAATATTGGAAAGGTACATTTCTCAGTATGTATCATTGGGTGATAAATATAAAAGAAACAAATTAAACCCAAGGTGACTTAGCAGAGAAGTAAAACAAGAGATTAAAAATAAGAAAAGGGCATTTAAATCAGACAAATCAGAGGCATCCTGTAAAAGATATAAGGAAGCCAATAATGTGTGCAAAATGGCAATTAG